GCTCTATCAGACTGTTAAAACTTTTAAAGAATGTTAAGCACTTGGGCTCTGAAGTCAAGCATATCTAGTTCCATATTTAGGCTTTGCTACTTGTCTCTTGTGGATCCTTGGGCAAGTTACCCACCATCTCTAAGACTCAGTTCTTTTTCTAAAATGGGAATAGGGATTGGGGGTGTGTTTTGGGTGGTAGAGCATCAGCCAATGAATGAAAGGATCAGATACCACGTTGGAGTACCAGTCTCAGACAAAAATCAATCATCAATCAATCAATCAAAAAGGGATAAAATTATCTATTGCTATTACAAAGACAACAGAAGATGTTTTGAGTAAACCCATCTCCTGGTCCAACTTACTGTCCTTGTGCTGTTCTTGACTTTATGAAGGCACCAAATCCATGTTTCTTTGGTCCTTAGTTAGTTGCCTAAATATCTCTATCTTTCTTGCTGGCTTGAGAATTCCTGGGGTATAAGAATTGGGTTGTGTCATCTTTGCCTCCCCAGAACTTGTCATATAGTACATGATTAGTAAGTATTAGTCAAATTCCAACTTTGGCATTCTCTTTAAGAGCTCTATGCCAATGGGTAAGGAAAAAAACCTCTTAGAATTCTAAAGGAAGAAGAGGGTCTTTCCTTTGGAGCCACTTGTAGTTTACTTTTCTGTTTCTTTCTCCACACACATCTCAGGGCAGGGCTTTTTCCAGGTCTGAGTAACTGGTATAGTTCTTGGCCAGTCTCTTCTCCCTTTGAGAAAGAAAAATAGACAAAAAGGATACAAGATAAAAGAAATGTTGGTATTACCTTTCTTATATAATTATAAACCCCTTTGTATATCACCTTTACATTAAAATAAAATAAAAAAACAAAGCCACTCCCTCGACAACCTCATCTCAAAAAGATAAAAGATACAAAGATATATATGAGCCCCCAAACCCCTTATGTTTCTCAAATGTATATTTGTATTTAAGACCTTTTCTGAGTGTCATATTTATATACTCTAACTTATTACTTGACATGCCCAACTGAGCACACAACAAAGTGATTTTATGGTATAGACAGAATTTAGGGCCAGATAATATAGTCCAAGCTGGCCTCAAATTTGCAATCCTCCTGCCTTAGCCTCCAGAGTGGTAGAATTACAGGTATACATCTCCATGTTTGGCTAAAGCAATCTTTCTAAGATATAAATCTAATGGTATTACTCCCTGCAAGGGTTTTCTAGTGTATCAATTGTAAATCTTCCCTTGGTTGATATTGACTCAACACCTTCTCCACCCTCACTCCTGAGATTGTCCTCTCCTGTTGTTTGAACCGTATTGGCTATATTTCTAATGCTCAAATGAAACTGACTCATTTCCTTTCTCAGAAGCTTTGAACTTAATATAGCATCTGCCTGGAATGCTTGTCCCCAGTTCAATTCATGTCTTATCTACATTTTAACCGAAGTGTCTCCTCAAGGAGGACTTCCTTGACCTCTTCTTTCTCTTTGTCTATTAGCCTTCCTCATCACTCTCTAACACTCTAGTCATTACCTTCATTTGACCTTTTCAGAGGACACGTCATTACCTGATATTTATTTGCTTGTTTGATTATTTTCTGTCTCCCACACTAGAAAGTGAGTTCCATGAATACAGAAAACTTGTATATCTTATTCTCTCTGGTGTCTTCACTTCCTTGCCAATGCTGGACACATAGTAAAGACCTTAATAAGCAGATAGTTAATGAAGTTAAATGAAAATGTAGTGAAGTTACTAGAATAAGAAGCCATTCTAGCTGGGCATCAGTGGCTCACTCCTGTAATCCTAGCTACCCAGAATGCTGAGATTTGAGGATTGCAGTTTAAAGCCAGGCTGGACAGGAAAGTTCTTGAGACTTGTATCTCCAATTAAACTACAAAAAAAAAATCCAGAAGTGGTAGAGCACTAACCTTGAACAAAAAAGAAAAAGCCCAGAGACAGCACTCAGGCCCTGAGTTAAAGCTCCAGGTCCAGCCATGGCAGCAGGAGGGGCAGCAACAAAAGAAGAAGGAGAAAGAGGAGGAAGAGGGAGGGGAGAAGGAGGGAGGAGGAGGAGGAGGGAGAGGGGAGGAGGGCTAGCAGGAGGAAGAGGAAGAAGAGGAGGAGGAGGAAGCAGAGGAGGAGGAGAAGGTATTCTAGCTCCTCAGTATGACTTTGGTAAGTCAGCGGTCCCTAAGGTTCAGTTTGAGCCTCTGTAAAGCCAGCACAATGACACCCTCCTGACACAGTGGTACAGTGGTAGCTTGAGTGCCTGATGTTTATTATAAATATCACAGTGCTCGGCATACCAGTGATCAGCAAATGCTTGTGCTATTTCTCCTCCTTGAGCCTCATTTTCCTCACTATAGGGATCTTAGCAGTGACTGCAAAGGATGGGTTGTGGTAAAGCAATGTCAACCTACTAATCCTTCCTTCTTCTGGTCTCTGCACTTAGTGTTCCCTTTCCTTCTCTTCCATCTCTTCTCCCCTACCCTACCTTTATTCTTTGCAGCCTGGATAACCTCAGGGTCACCCCCTTCCGGATTTCACTGGGATCCCATCTCAGGTTAGGACTTCTTCTAGGCTACCCTGGGGCTTAGTGTTTTTGTTAAATAAAAACAGACATCATGGTCAAGGAATACAGCATGCTGTCTGATGGCTTTCAGGGCTAACTCAGGTGAGATGGGGCCGCTACAGTCCTGAATTCAAAATTTCCCCTAGTTGACAAAGAATATTACCACAAACCTGTGGCTGAGCTCACTGAGGAGGAGAGATCTGAGCAGGAGCTCAAGAAAACTCAGCCTATCAAAGCTGTTCACCAACATGAGGATGAAAGGAGAAAACAAGGTACTGGCTAGATCCTTCATAAGCCAGACTCTGGAAGCAATGAAAAGGAATTGGTGTAAGAATCATCACCTGCTTCTGCAGAGAAATGGGCAACTGTTGAACATAACCCCTATACCATCTTTCACCAAGCACTGAAAAAACTGTGAGCCTGTGAGTTGGGCTAGTATCCATCCTCAGAAGTGACCATTTCTACCACGTCCCTGTACCTCTAGCCTACCAATGATGGGACTACAGAAGTACTGTGAAGTAGATGATCACTGAGTACAGAGAGAAGGATCACTGGTAAACACTGATGCCAGAGAAACTGACACATGAGCTATTTGAGGTTTTTCACAACCAGGGCCCAATGATCATACCCTGCCCCACCACCACTGATGGTAAGGAATAGGACAGGATCCAGGACACGCCCTGGGCTTTTCACTGCAGGAATGCACTACTCACTGGAAAGAACCTGTGAGTGAAAGATGACTTTGTGTGTGTGTGTGTGTGTGTGTGTGTGTGTGTATGTGCTGGGCCTAGGGCTTGAATCAGGGCCTGGGTGCTGTCCCTGAGCAATTTTGATTAAGGCTAACATTCTACCATTTGAGCCAGAGCTTCACTTTCAGCTTTTTGGGAGTCAATTGTAAGTTAGAGTCTCATGGACTTTCCTGCTTGGGCTGGATTCCAACTTGGACCTTTATATCTCAGCCTCCTGAGTAGCTAGAATTACAGGCATGCGCTACTTGCCTAAGTAATTAGAATTACAGGTAACCGGGCTGGGAAGGTGGCTCAGTGGTAGAGTGCTTGCCTTGCACGCATGAGGCCCTGGGTTCCATTCCTCAGCACCACATAAGCAGAAAAAGCCAGAAGTGGCACTGTAGCTCAAGTGGTAGAGTGCTAGCCTTGAGCTGAAGAGCTGAGGGACAGCACCCAGGCCCAGAGTTCAGGCCCCATAACTGACCAAAAAAAAAAAAAAAAAAAGAAAGAAAAGAATTATAGGCAACCTTTTTAAAAAAGGATGGAGCAACAAGCTTCTAGCCCATTTCTCCTTCAGGGCCAGAACTGGTGTCCCTGCCCCACCCCATAACATATCTACTTGAGGATTCCCTCAGAAAAACTCAGATCCAATCTGCTCATCCCTTAGCTAGGGGTAGACATTTAGACTATGAAAAGAAGCAGTCTTAGTATAAGGAAAGCTTTATTAGAAAATCTTCACCCTCACCTGGTGAGCTTCCATTCATTACAATTGACCAGAGCTTGTCTCCATAGCTAGTCCTTGTGCAACATGTATAAAAATGCAGTATCAACTGGGAGCCGGTGGCTCACACCTGTAATCCTAGCTACTCAGGAGGCTGAGATCTGAGGATCACGGTTCAAAGCCAACCCTGGCAAGAAAGTCCGTGAAACTCTTATCTCCAATAAACCATCAGAAAACCGTAAGTGGCGCAATAGCTCAAGTGGTAGAGTGCTAGCCCTGAGCTGAAGAGCTGAGGGACAATGCTCAGGCCCAGAGTTCAAGCCCCACGACCGACAAAAAAAAAGAAAAAAATGCAGTATCTGTTGGGGGGGAAAAGACATCACATTACTATTCTTCTTCTCTTTCTTTTCCTTTGCTTTCTTCGTTCTCCTTCCTCTTCCTGAAATGGAGTCTTTGTAGCTCAGAATGGCCTCAGACTTGTGATTCTCCTGCCTTCCTTCTTGAGTGTTGGGTCTACAGATGATATGTTACATCTGGCTTTTAAAAATTGTTTTTTCACAGGTCCAGTGGAAGCATAGAAGGAAGGAGAGGAGGACAGAGGGATAGAGGGACAGGGGTTGATGGAAAGAATCATATGACAGTGTTTTGAATGCAGCTACTCCAAAAATCAAGCAGATTCCCAGGACCCCAGAGACCAGCCTCAGCTGGCCCCGCCACTCCCCTCCTCTCTGGAGACCCTGCCTAGTAGCTCCCTTGAGATGCTTAGTTGTCCCCTGAACTATTTCCTCCAGCACTCAAAGGCACATGTTCCCCAATCATTGGCTGCAGTACTCCTTACCCAAGCCCAGGCCACGAATGGGAGGCAGCCAAGTGAGGGATGCAGATGATCTCAGTTCTTGCCCCAGGGTTAACATTGAGGCAGTGGCAATTGCAGCACTACAGAGCATCTGACCAGGGCACGCCAGGACTGGGGGCTTGGAAGAGATGAAGGGGCTGCAGCTACTGTTGAAGTTGCTGCTGGTGGCCAGCACTCTGGGCACACAAGGGCAGCGCCAGGTCTACTTCCGTGAGGAGTTTGAAGATGGAGGTAAGCAATTGGACCTGTAAGGAAGGAGGGATGACAGACCAGACCCTACTTGCTCCTCCTCAATCGCCTGCCTCAGCATTCAGGTGGACCATACTTGCTTGGAGCTCATTTAGAGTACAAAGAATCAGTTCAAATCACTGTTGGCTACTTTCCTAGCTGTGACCCTGGGTGAGTAGCTAAGCTTGTCTGTGTTTCAGTTTCCTTCTCTATTAAATGAGGACTATATGAATCTACCTAAATGATTGAGAAATCAAGGAGATAAAGTACGCAAACGTTGCTCCTAATACACGGTGGTGTACAATAAATATTTGTTGTGCACAGTTCTACCTTCATCCTAAAAACATAAATGTAAAATTCAGCCCTAAGTGTGATCATGAGATTTCTGTGTTTCACAAATAGTAGCTCTCAGATGCTCTTGGAAGTCACCTTATCCAGCTTCTGCCTTGCAGTGTTTGAGGATCATCAGGAAATTGAGACGGTGCTTACTTCCCAAAAGACAAGTGTCCAATGGTACTGATGTTTGTTGTTTTTGTTTTTGTTTGAGAGGAGATCTAATTATGTGGTCCAGATTGGGCCTTAAACTGGAGATCTGCTTCCTCAGCCTCCCAAGTGCTAGGATTACAAGTGTGTACCTCCATGCTGGGCTATGATACTATAAGATCTCTCTCTCTCTCTCTCTCTCTCTCTCTCTCTCTCTCTCTCTCTCTCTCTCCCGCCCCCCTTGCTCTCTACGTATGGGAAAAATTTTAATTCTCTGAAAGTACAGCAAATGAGGAAGACACTTGCCTACGAATCAGGATTTTGCATTCAAGCCCATCTTCCATCCTGAAAGAAGGGATGCACTTTTTTTCCTTTCTGAAACTCAGTTTCCTAGTTTATGATACCAGTGACATGTTGAAAGTAGTGATTTATAGAGGTAGAGCAGAGGAGGAGTTAGCTCAGGTAATGGGGTAGGACAGAATGGCTCAAGATGGAGGTGAAACCCAAGCACCATTTTGCAGGAAGAATTAAGAGTTTCTCAGATGGAACTCAGGTGTGGTAGCTACATCCTGTCATTCCAACACTCAGAGGCTGAGCGGGAGGATCATAAGTTAGGGAGAGCTGTACTGCATAAGAAGACCCTGTATCAAACAAACAAAAACAGATATACTGGTGGCTTATACCTATAATCCTAATTGCTCAGGAGACAGACATCAGGAAGACTGAGGTTGGAGGTTAGCTCAGGTTAAAAGTTCGTAAGAGCCGGTGCCAGTGGCTCACGCCTGTAATCCTAGCTACTAAGGAGGCTGAGATCTGAGGATTGCGGTTCAAAGCCAGCCCAGGCAGGAAAGTCTGTGAGACTCTTATCTACAATAAACCAGCAGAAAACCAGAAGTGGTGCTGTGGCTTAAGTAGTAGAGTGCTAGCCCTGAGCTGAAGAACTCAGGGACAGTGCCCAGGGCCAGAGTTCAAGCCCCACAGCCTACAAAAAAAAAAAGTTCCGTTCACAAACAAGACCACACTAAAGCTACCAGCACGACTATGTTTATTGCAGCCTTATTTACCATAGCTAAGATATGGAACCAACCCAAATGCCCCTCAGTAGATGAATAGATCAAGAAAATGTGGTATACACACACACACACACACACACACACACACACACACACAATGGAATTCTATGCCTCCATCAGAAAGAATGACATTGTCCCATTTGTTAGGAAATGGAAAGACTCGGAAAAAATTATATTAAGTGAAGTAAGCCAGGCCCAAAGAAACATAGGTCCCATGGTTTCCCTTATTTGCAATAGCTAGTATATGTCTGAATCAAGCAGAAAAGGTCAGATAAGTTGATGTTAGGGAAATTAACCCCAAGATATGTATTCAAATGTTTTTTTCTTTTATAAGATGATTTCTTTGTTGCTTTGTATGTCCCTCCCCCACGGTATAACCCCTGCTTTCACTGTATTTGATATTGTTATAATTTGTGAAGGGGAAGGGAAAAAACAAATCATTTAAATAGGGATACAGGTGGACCCATTGCAACAATGAGACGTACTAGTCATTATGTCGAAAATGAACTTTACAACTTGAGGGGGGGAGGAAAGGGGGGGTTAGAGGATGGGATAGGAAGGGTAAACAAAGGAGGAGGCTACAATGCTTGATAAGAAATGTACTCATTATCTGGCCCATGTAATTATAACCCCTCTGTACAGTATTCTCACAATTAAAAAAAATTCATAAGACCCCATTTCATCAATAGCTGGGCACAGTGATACACACCTGCTATCGCAGGAAACAGAAGTAGAAGGATTGTGATCCACATCAGCATGGGCAAAAAGTGAGATCCTATCTCAAAAAATAACCACAGCTACAAGTGTTGGAACCTGGCTCAAGCGATTAGAATACCTGCCTAACAAGTGCAAATCCTTGAGTTCAAACCTCAGGACTACCAAAAACAAACAAACAAAACCATACCCACTTTTGTCAGATAGGCAGGGATTGGGAGTAGGGCACTGTAGTTTAGAACAACAAGTACAAGTTTTGGTGCAGCCTCTGGTAGCATCTGCGGGGAGCTTGCAAGAGTAAAGAGAAGATAGTAAAGGGAAGCCTGGAGAGGAGATGGGGGGCTGGAGAGATCACTTCTGAAGGCTGTGGGGGAGCTGGTGAAAAAGAGAAACAAGATCCGTTCTGGGGGGTTGGGAATGTGACTTAGCAGTACAGTGCTTGCCTAGCATGCATGAAGCCTCAGCATCACATAAACAGAAAAGGCTAGAAGTGGCACTGTCGCTCAAGTGGTAGAGTGCTAGCCTTGAGCAAAAAGAAGCCCAGAGACAGTGCTCAGGCCCCTGAGTTCAAGCCCAGGACTGGCAAAAAAAAAAAAAATCTGTTCTGGGTCCTAGGAAGAGCATGTTGCATGCCTGTGGAGATGGACTGGGAAAGCTGCCGGAAGTTGAGGTTACAAACAGGGAAACTATCTAGGAGGTTATTACAGTGTTAGTGAACATTGGAGCGATATTCTAGAGTGGGAGTGCTAGGAACCCACGGGAGGAGGCAGATAGGAAAATCGTCGAGGAGTTGGCTGAAGAGTAGAATGGAAAAGAAGCCCCATGAAATATGTTGGGCGGTAGGCAAATGCATGCAAGTGTGTTAACTGAAATATGGTAGATCCAAAGGAAATCTCAAGTAGTGTAATTCCTTAGGAAGGCAAAATCAAAGTTCAGGATCTTAGACTTTCAGTAGGCTCAAGGGGAAAGGATGAATGAAAAGGAGAAGAGTGGGAAAATGTAGACAAGAACCCAATGGGTATCCCATAAAATTAAGAAGAATGAGGGAAGGGATGAGGAGGGGAGGGATGTGTGAATAGGGTGACACTAATCAAATATATGGTATTCATACACTGCTTTGTTAAATGGCAACTCCTTTGTACAACTACTTAAAGATAATAATAAAAAGAAAAAAAAAGGCCCATTGACTGGCTATGGAGGAACCTTTTCAAAAAAAAAAAACAACAAAAACCAAGACTTGTTGGTTGCCAGTGGCTCATGTGTATAATCCTAGCTACTCAGGAGGTTGAGATCTAAGGATCACGTTCAAAGTCAGCCTGGGCAGGAAAGTCCATGAGAATCTTATTGCCAATTATCCACCAGAAAACCAGAAGTGGTGCTGTGGCTCAAAGTGGTAGAGCACTAGTCTTGTGCAAAAAAGCTCAGGAGGGGCTGGAAAAGTGGCTCAGTGGTACAGCGCTTGCTTTGCATGCCTGAGGCCCTGGATTTGATTCCTCAGCACTACATAAGCAAAAAGAAAAAAGCTGGAAGTGGCGCTGTGGCTCATAGTGGTAGAGCGCTAGCCTTGAGCTGAAGTGTTGAGGGACAGTGCCCAGGCCAAGTTCAGGCCCCAGGACCGAACCCCCCCCAAAAAAACAAAACAAAACAAAAAAGCTCAGGAATAACACCCAGGCTTTGAATTCAAGTCTTACAACCAGTAACAACAACAACAACAAAATACAAAACACTATAAAAACAAACAAACCAAAAACAAGGATCAAGCTCCTTCCCAGGATAGGTTGGTGATTTCCCATTTCTTGCTTGGCCTTGGCCATCTCTTGTAGTAAACTCAATAAGGCCAAATTCAAATTCTCACTCTTAGCTCCTGGACTCCCCTCCCTGCCAGGCCTGGCTCTTATTCACTCCCTGATTCCTCCTGTCAAAAGCAAAGAGAACATGCCAAGACCTGCAGCCACTTCCCCAAAGGACTGAGCTTCACTTGTTCATTGTGGCAGGAGTGAAATGCCCAAGGGCTTTACTGAGAAAGGTTTCTGAAAAGCTCCTTGGAAAAGAGTCGCTTCAAACCCCAAGCTCCAAGACAGTTGATGAGGCCAATTTCATGAATGTAATTAGGTAGCAGTTATGTGCACAAAGAGCAGCTTTGCAGGGCATTGCCATTGGCTCCTCCAGGAAGCTTGCCTTGCCCCGCCCGCTCTACATCTGAGTTTATCATATCAGCCCTGCTCACTCTGTGGTCATGTGCCCCTCTTAGTCTCTTCTGTGTTTCCAATATCCAATTCAGTATCTGCTCTAGAGAGATATGCTACTGAATGATTGGACTGAAATGTGTGTGTGTGTGTGTGTGTGTGTGTGTGTGTGTGTGTGTGTGTGTGTGTGTGTGTGTGACTTGCATCCAGATTGGGCTTAATTTTAATACACCAAAACTAACAGGAGAAGGTTAAAGAAATCTTTCTGTAGGAGGACTGAGATATATGTATCTATTGAGGTCAGATGCCTAGGCTAAAGGAATAATGTTATTAATAGGCTAAAAAGAGAAAGGTCAGAGATCCATGCTAAGAACTTTTGCTCACTGGCTGAATAGAGTTGACTAGTAGAGTCATCCTCAAGTTTCCAATGCATATCCTGAGTGTAGAAATTCAGCACAGGTAGGGGACTCCATACTGGAAAGATTTAGACACTGACTTGTTCTGTCCACGCTCATAAGTAAGAGGTTGGTATGTAAACTAGATACTC